TATAAGATGTTCTCATATTTTATGTAGTTTTTATCTTTATTGAATACTGTGTGGTTAATAGTATTATGTAGTTTTTTTATAATTGACTGAGTTATTTTTAATTGATATATTTTTTTAAATAAAAAAATTATTTTTAATTTTCGTGCTTTTTGCTAAAACATTATATATAGAAAAACTGAGATACTAATAATTAGTCAAGAATCGAGATGTAGATAATTACATACTCGAAAAAAAACCCCAAGTATATGGATTATTTATCTTTCTTCGCCGTAAAAAAAAAAAAATTATCTTACTTCAAGTAGCCATTGAATAACAAACGGTCAAATAACGATGGTTGAATAACAAACGTTCAAATAACGATGGTCCACCATCGCGAGCTATCATCATTCATCACGAGTTTTTCCACTATGGAAAGTACGTCCATGTGCTAAGTGCTAATCTTATTCAATTTTGTACATTTTTAAATGAAGTAAATTATAGAGATTACATAATTGACATTGAATATGGGCATTTTATCACAAAAATATCTAATCAATATTATCCTTATCTACTATAGATTTGATCTCGTAATGGTAATGCTCCATCATTGATATTTTTGAGCTGAAAGCAAACTATCACCATTAACCCAAAGAGATTGGTTTTTTTTTACTTCCCCAAAGAGATTTTGAGTATATGATCGGTTACTATTGTCCAAGTATTTATGCATTATGAGTCTAACTGGTGGTGGCCTAATGGAGAAGAACCACATAATGCAGCAGAATTGTTTAATTTTGTTACCAGTTGATGTGGTAGAATATGCAAATTCTCATAATGAAAACAGTAAAAGACAAAAGATGTAGAATTTGTTTTAGTTTGTGATACGTTTTAAGTTAAAAAAAAGAAGAAGAATTTTACGTTTTTTGTTTTGTCTACTTTTATTTTTACGTTCGTGGTGGATAAGAATTACATATATTTTTGTTTGTTGAATTATCTATATAATCTACATAATTTCTTATATTATTTATTTTTGAGAAATTTCGAAAAATACCATTTTTAAAATGCCACTTTACAAAAATGCCAAACTTTTGAAATATTTATATTTCAAAACATTTGTAATCTTAGAAATTATCAATATCATAAGTATAAAATTATTGATGAATAAATTAGATTTATGAAAAAAAGATTTACATGTTATTATTATGTTTAGAAATTTTGAGAAATATCATTTTTGAAGTGTCACTTTTCAAAAATGCCACTTTTTAAAAAAAATTTGCAAAAATACCACTTTTCTAAA